CCACCCCCGCCGGCGGCCACCGCCCGTCGGGCAGCCGAGCCGCCCCGGCCCCCGCCCCGGTAGCGCTTCTTCCTCTACACGTTCTCCTGCTGCTCCTGTCTGACACCACGCACTTCTTGCCCGCTCCCTCTTCCACCCCACGGCCAGGCAGCGCCGGGCGCTTTCCCGAGGCACCGGGACGGACATTGGGGCGGGATCTCCCGCCCTCCCCCTCAGCCCCGCTCCCGGCACGGCTGCTGCCCGCCCCCGGGAGCCGGCCAGGACTCCAGCCAAAGCGGTGGATATAGGAATCTGGGATAACCGGTAAATATGGCAACGCACGTAACTGTTGTTATGCTCTAAAGATTTCAGTATGAGACAGGCAACTAGACAGCTCTTTCTGAGGCATATGCAAGTTTGTTTTTATAAAATCGATGTAATTCTTCCAGCATTTAAAGTAGTTCTTTGAAGTGAGCTCCCTGAACACAAGATTCGTTTGTGAAGAGCTGGCAGGTGTCTCATTACACACACACGCACACAGATATCAGGAGCTGCTTCCTTTCCCCCAGCATACCTGATCTCTGCTCCGTGCAAGACCCTCCTTCAGCTTTCTCTGGCAAACTTCAGGATGATGCTGTCTGTGGAAACTGTTAAAAACAAAAACATATGCACCTTTGTGGTGATGTCGTTTGGATATTTTGTTTTGAATGCTCTTTAAGGCCTGTTTTAACAAAGGCCTCTGCCTATGGGTACACGATAAAATACAATGCAATATGAAGACTGATGTTATCCATCTAACCTTGTCACCTGTTCAGTTACCAGTTTGTTGTGATTCTCTTAAATATACTATTTCAGAATTATGATTTCACAGCCTCTGCCAGATACAAAATAACAGATTCTGTGTGGCATTTGGAAAGGAGACAACTCCTCACACCGAAACTGCAGTGGTGAGTGCTGCATGCCCATTCCTCCCAGGAATGGTCTTAAAATCCTTGTATTTCCTTCTCTGTTGCTTGACTTCCTCCCTCTTTTCCAACACAGTTGCTGTTGTTCTCATGGTGATGATACTTAGTGCTGTGTTTGCCTTTTGGCACAAACGTCTGGAGAAGGTAGTTGTTTTCTGAATCTGCATCCACAAGCAGTATCACCTAAATCGTGCTGTCCTGAGAAGAATGGACTCGTGGGAACATAGGAAACTTTGTCACAACAAGAGTTTGTTGCATTGGGTAACACAAACTTAGAGCTTTCAAGAGGGTATTTTAATGATTTTAATAACAAGGAAAAGACATACACAATAAGTAATAACATAAAAGGCCCTTTGGCCATATTTTATAATGCTCCACACACTTTGCTTACTTTACCTGATGGAGTTTGAGTTTCCCCAAAAAATGCTTTAAGAGAAAGGGAATAATTTATTATTTTTCCCAAGACTGAGACCTGCTGGTATCTGTCATACAATGATGTGTTTAAAAGCTCCATATCAATATTTTGGTTTCCTGCATAAAAAAGTCTCCATCATCACAGAAGAGATACTTATTAAGATCATGATTTGAAAAACACAAACAATGAAGGCCTCAAAAGGATTATTTTTTTTTTAAGCTGACATCCTGAAAATGTATGAACGTGTTGAAAACAGCTTTAGCCACTTGCAAGGACCTGTGGAAAAATAAAACAAGTTTCCTTGAGTCTGAGGCTTACAGAAGGCTTCTTCATCTTGGAGACAGTGTTCCTCTGAGTGATGGCATCAGAAAGATGGGGAGGCCCAGCAAGGAAACATTGAACATATAAGATATGCAAGATTTATTTTGTTAACACTGTGCACATATCTTGAAGAGTAAAGGAGCCACTATATCCTTGTTGTAATATCTCATCCTAATCGCAGAGGCCGTGTTTTAGATGTCTTTGTGTAGCAAATGGAGAAGGAAAACTGCTTTGACCTCACTCATCCCAATACTGGAAAATATCCTGGTTCACTTCCAAAATAAAGTTCAACCAAGGGCCACCCAAGTGTAATACCCTGTTCAATTACAAAATAATCCTTAGGCTGGAACCCACAGAAGAATGCATATTGCCATTTCCCACCATGGCTAAAGGAACTCAAGACACTTGGTAAAGCTCAATACTGAGCAAAAATACATAAGGAAATAAATAAATAAATAAATAAATAAATAAAGACTCTAAAAAAATTAGACAATTCCTCTCCCCTGTTTTTGGCTATGGAACACGTTAGTCTGGAATTAAAGCAATAACATGTTTCAGAATTCAATGTCCAAACCATCAGATAACTGGAACTTCTGGATATCTTCCCCTGTAAAATAGCATGCAAGTTAAATCTGAAATGCCTGCATTTTATATAGACCACGTTTTAAATGCAAACATGTATAAAAATGCTATGATGTACAAAACACTAGACAGCTATCCTTTTGCTATGCATCAATTCCAGAAAACAACTGGAAATCCCTTGGAAAGTTTGATGTAATTACATCTGACTGTAAATCTTTGACTGTTTTAATATACTCAGGTGACCTAAATAACATTACACAGATGAAAAATTAATTTAAAGTAATTAAGAAAGAGTATTTGTCTCAAGATCAGTTTCTCTTAGAAATTACTGCTCTGAAAAGTCCTGTATGCTTTGTTCTACAGCCATAATCTTTGTATTTCCACATTGTAAATACTCCATGGTAAATTGCAATGGAAGCTCGGCTTGGCTTAAGTTCTCCTGGCTCTGTGGTACTGCTTCTTGGTTAAGGAAATGGATTTCATTCTCAGTTTTTGTCATTCTATGGTTTAATTTACGGATGATTTATATGTGTCCTCTGCTAGTTTAATGGTGACTTTTCTTCAACATGAATTTCTGTCATGCTCGAACAACTAATTTACAGACACAAGGGATATGTTGATAATTATCCGTTAAAATGTCTCAACCAAACACTCTTTCTAGAGGTGTAAATGAAGATAATGGAAAATTCAGTCAGCAGTTCAAATGAGGTTTCCTTGAACTGAGTTGCTCCTTTCCTCTGGTGTTGTGCCAAGCAAGTTGAGCGTGGCCAGAAGCTGCCCCTTCTAGATTGGCTGGCATTGACATGTATTAGCTGGCTTCATGTGCTTTAGATGGGAGGTGAGAGCTCATTAAAGCATTTGATTTACAATGCAGTAGTGATACAGTAATGCAGATCAGCCATGCTGTTCACGTGCAATAGTTGCCTATTCCTTTCTATTTCCTCAGGGCTTCTGGAAACAAGAGCAGGTAGGAGTTAGTAATAGTCTGGATGAATTGTGGCCACTTGCACTGCTGTGCTTGAAAAGTGCCGTGTGGTGTATTATGGCCCAAATAAATCTGCCACTCTGTTTGTGGATTGTCCATGCAGAAATACGTGTGGGACCTGCTTTTTGAAAGTTAAATTCTGATGCCTCAAAATACCTCCTGTGGCATGGGTTATTTGTGAAAATTGCTTGTAGAGTGTGTTCCTGAAGTGAGTTTGAATTCAATCTTTTAAAGTCACCCTTAATTCAAAAAAGTCATAAAAAACTGTAGAGCTGCTTTGTGGAATTAGATAGCTACAACAATATGAGTTTCCATCAAAACTGGGCAATCACTGCCCTCAAGGAAGGTGTGTAAAAAAGTACAGGGAGCAAGGTGAAGCTGGGAAATTATGACGAGGGGAGATGAAGAAGGCAGGACAGAGGCACTAAGAGTTTGATCCTGAGAAACAACAGAAAAAAAATCTGAAAGCCAGAAGAGATCTGGGATTATGATAAAATGAACCATCTCAAATTCTTTGATTCTTTGTATGCAAGGAAATAGAATTCTATGCTTTTCTTAATAAATAAAAGCATGCACTTGTAATCTCGATTTCTTCCTTGAACAAAACATTCTGTACACCAGCAAATTTTCTTTAAACTCTGAAATCAAAAAAGGTATGAGTTGCATTAGCAGTCTTGTGGAGACTGCATTCAACAGCAGTGCTGGACTGACAAGCAGAGATAACATCTTAGCTAACCTCCAGATTCAGTCAGCCATAAGCACACTGTGAACTTTTTTTCTAACTACCAAGTTGATGCTATTTTTAAAAAAACCCACATACGGATTATTTTCAAATGAAGACATTTAAGTGTAGCATTTCATTAAAGAAAAAAGTGACAACATATACTTTAGCTTTCTATTTCATCTTAAATCACATAACTAGATTATTGCAATATTCTTTAAATTCAGAAGTCCCTTTCTCAAATGGCAGCGAAAATAGCTTTTCTCGTGACTGTTTAACTTCTAAGAAAGCTACTTTTTTTTGCTCTTTTATGTCAATCCTTCCCATGCACTGTCATCATTTTACCAGGGTAATAGTCTATTTTCTTTCCTTCTCTTCTTTCTTCAGTATCTTCTGTAATTTTCTTCACTAAGGGAAAAGTTCTTGATTCTGCTGATCAGGGCACAACTGCTTGAGCAGGGTAAGTTTTGGGGGACAATTGTAAACTAAAGAAATGATGGACAAATCCCACATACTTAAATTTCTATTTGAAGAGTGAGTCGGTATTGAAATTGGGCTTTTACGTGCAGAGCAGTAGACAAATTCTTTGTCTGTATTTACAGGTATTTGCATTTGAGTAAGGCTGTGTAAAAAAACGGTAATATGAAAAAAAAAATCCAAAAATAGTTTGAATGCTAGAGAACAAACCTTTTTGGCTGAAGAGTTCAATCATAGTAGCTTAACAAAAGCGACATCGTTACAGAATAAGCACAGTTATGCAGGTATTCAAACCAGTCTGTTACCATACATGGTGATCTTTAGATCACTAGATCATTAGATCTCTTCTGGTGTGGAAAACATGACCTTACAGTAAAATAGCTGTGCTTAAAGAGTGTGGGCCACCTTGTCTGTTCATTGTCATGGAGTTCAATATGGTAAGAGTCCCTGTGCAGCCTGCCTACACTGTCCATGGATGGATAGTCATGAAAATAAAGAACTGGAAACAATCCTGAGAAAAAAACACTTGTGGCTGCTTTCTTGCCTGAAGCTTTGGGTTTCTGAAGGGGCATAATAGCCACTTCAGGAAGGTTAACTGGTGTTTAGGGAAAACTGTAGGATGTCTAACCTGCAACCCCAGTCCTGTCATCAGTTTAGAGCCAAGCTTTTGAGAGTTGTTCAGAAGGAAAGCAAACTGCCACTTGGAAGGGGAGCTCAAGCCAGTCAAAGGAGCTGTGTAGCACCTTAGACTTCACCATGCTGACCTTATCCTCTTGGAAGACAATGGTTTAAATAATGAATAATAAAAATGTGCCTCTGCCAAATTTTTTCAGCATTTTTTAAATGTTACTTTTCTCTTTACTTCTGTGAGATTCACTCCTGCTGCCAAAGTTTTATTGCTGCTCTAGAATTGACAGCTGATGAAAAGCATAATTAGTATTAATTACTAAAGACACACAAAGAAATGAAGAGTAAATCTCATCCTTACTGGACAGAATCAGCTCTGGTGGTTCAAGAGCCAAGGCACACAGAACAAGAACAGAGCTGCTGTTATTGGAAAGCTTCACTTAAGACCAAAGATGCCTTGTGTTCAGGCTGTCTTCACCTGCAGTGTGATAGTCTCAGGGCAGAATTAAAAACACAGCTATGCTTCAGGCGAGAGCTGCATCCCTCCTGTTCTGTTTTGAAGCTGATGATATGATGGAGGTGTAATGTCAGCCACAAAGTAACAAAGTGAGCATTAGCAACAGAGGAAAACTGTGAAAGGAAGAGCTTGAGAGACAAAGATGATGCATTGAAAAATAGTCAGTTTTATAAAACATTGTGCACACTTTGCTTCATGTGTGTTTGCATATGCTCTGTGTTTTCTTCTGATGCCTTTGTCTGCCTTGCCTCTGTGTACCACAGTGCTGAGATAGCCAGTTTCTTCTCAGCCTGGAACCTCTGACACTGAGTTTGATGTAATTTCATTAAACACTGTTCCTGTGATTCTCTATAAACTTTGCATCTTCCATTCTAAGGTTCAGTGAGATGGCTGTAGCAGTGTTGTCGCTGTGGAGACAGGAGCACCAAGGTTTGAACAGAGTTAGTAACCAGAAATATTGTGAAGATATGTGAGTAGTGCTTCTTCATATCTATGTTTGTGTATTACTCCTTTGTCTTCTGTTGCATGTCACCCATGGCCATCTACACATACTGGAATAGCTTCATTTCAGGGGTATCCTTATCCATAAAAATCTCTCTTTCAATTAATTCTGTTTTATAAAGGTAGTGATAAAATCTTGTAGGATTTGAAATTTTCAGCCATATTAGCTCCTCCAGTGAACATAATTGTCCCTTTTTCATTCAACAGAACATCTTCCCTTACTCTAGATTAGTTTTTCTCAGTTTGTGGCATTATTTCTCTCGGACAGATTAAATGAAAGAGTTGGTAGGTTGCAACATGGGAAAAAAATATCCAGCCTCACTACTGCTTCTATTTGATTTCAAACAGATAATTTTATACCTTTCACTGTGGCTACTAGCTTTTTGTCTGTTTTTTGTTTGGTTTGGGGGTTTTTTGTTTGTTTCTTTGGGTTTTTTGTTTGGTTTGTATGCTAATTAAATCAAGGCAGTAGAACTCTATTGTGTTAAAAATAGAAATAAATAGAAACACAAAAATTATTCATTGTATAGAAAGAGTAAATATAAGCTCTCTAAATTTCACAGCAGATATTTTGCTTAGCTCTTTGTTGTTTAATGTAACTGTTATGTACATATGAACAGGATTAGGTCACGTGCAGATTTAAGAAATGATGGCTCTGAGCTGAATTAAAGGCATGAATTAATTTTCTTTTATCTCATGCATCATTAAATATTGCTGTCTACTGATTATCTATATAATACCTGTCACCTGATAGCAACCACGGTCGTTATGGTAATGTCAAGATTATAATTATAGTCCCTTCTGCAATGTAGTCATACTATGCTAAAAAAATCCTTGAGATGATAGTGCCCCATACTTGGTATCAGCCCAAACAAAAATACATTTTGAGACTGTTGAGGGGAAGATATTTTGTTACTAAGTTATTAACATTCAAGAATTATGTACTTACATGTACATATATGTGTATGTAATTACAAAATATGTAGCCTTTTGAATCATGGCTTTATTTTATTTGAGGTAGACAAAACTTGTCAGAACTTCATATCCCTTGATGAGCATCCCTTTGGCTGAGTTTGGGAATTTAGGAATATTTTTAAAATGGAGTTATTACTCAGAGAAATCTTGTTTGCTTGACAGCATGTGTCAGAGTGGTAGATGAGCCCATACCCTTTTGCAGTAGAGCACGTGGTGCCCCAGGTGTTTGGGCTGCTCCTCCCAAGGTCTCTGTCATGTCAGAAGCTGGTGAGCCCTAATGTCCAGAAGCTGATCAGGAGATCAGGACTCCTGGGAGACACACGTTTACTGCATAAGGTTGTGGGTGGCAGAGAGAATGTGGCTTCTCAGAGGATAAAATATGCCTGATTTCTGTAGAATGTATGGCAGAACTCTGAGAAAAAAAAAATTAAGTCATTATCTGGTAGCTTCTTCAGATTTTATTAATACAGTTGGCCTATTTTCTTTTAGATTTCAGGGACAATTTTCATTAAATTATAAAGAAAAAATATGATCTCATAAGTATACAAATGTATAAACCATCTCTTCCCAAATGTAAAAAAGGTTCTAGGAAAAGCATATTGAGGAATCGGTGTAAGCGCAACTTGTGGAGCAAATAATTCAGAATAAAAACCCACTACATGTTAAACTAAGAATATTGTAACCATTTTCTCATTTAGTAACATCTAACACTATAAATATTATGTTACCCTAATGAATAAAATAGCTTATTTTATGTTATTCTTACCTGTAATCTGAAAGTAATTGTGATCAACTTAATCAGGGTAGAATGGCCCATACAAGTTTATATATGTAAATGAGATACCTATTGAAATACTGAAGTGTTCGTTTCTTATTCTCATCACTTACACAGTACTATATTGAAATACTGTTTTCTATTAATTGATTTTGAGAACAAAATTGGTGAACTGTTGTCATGTGTATTTGGTAATATTTTGACATCAATATTTGGTTTCAAACAGAAGTCTACAAAACTGTTTATGTGTCAGCCATTCTTAGGATGGCATAATAAGTATCTATTGTATAAATAATTTTATTCAGAAAGTCTATGGACAACAAGCGTTTGGCAAGAATTTCCATAAAAATATTCAGTGATGCCAAGGTTGTCTGTAGCTGTTAGCCAAGGGTGTCTGATGCTGGTGGAAGCTGTCACAGTGCAGACAGCTGTGTCTGTCAGCATTTTGGGAACAAGCTGAGCTGCAGCTGCTCTTCGACAGGGGCCAGCCAGCGATCTGAGTTGCCCTCCCTCATACAAGCCCATTGCAAAAGGCCACAATTCCTGCATATCTCCAAGAGCTGCACATTTATGCCACCTTTATATGTTCAGTAGGTTGGTTGATTAGTAGGATTTCAAGGAAAATCTGTATCTTGACATTCATTCTGAAGTAAATGTTTGAAGATTCAGCTATTTTCCTATTAGATATTAACAGCATTAACTACTTGGCATTCCAGTATTAAGAAGTTCATGTAATGGTGCCAGTGGAGGGACATGGGACATAGCAGGAAATATCTATCCCTCCTGGTACTAATGACCACAGCAGTGAATTAGAAAGAAAGATTAAGCAAACTAGATTGGATCTTCTGTAGACCTGGCTCACCAGAAGCTGCCAAGAACATGAGTCAGACCTAGACCTGGAAAAGACTTTTTCTGTTCTACCACTGCAGCTCTAGTTCTGAAGTTATGCCCTCATTAAAGGGACTAGATTAGTGGGTATGTTGCATAGAGTTAGATCCTGTATATATTGCAAAGGCAAATGAAACCCAGGCATCTTTGAGTGGATCTCAGATTCCATATGTATGCAAGGAAGTCCAGTACCCTACCACCACATCATGTGAAGGGAAAGATACTTTTTCTAGCATTTTTTATTTCTAGGTATCTCAAGGAATGTTCCCAGTCTCTTCAAATTTTACTCCTTTGAAAGCAGAGATCTTTCTATAGGAGAAAAATGCCTTCAGCAATGTGTGAGGATTTAGCCATGTTGTCCTTGCTGTCCTGTAAAGTGTGTATTACTATTGATACGGTGCCAGAGCTTTTCCAAAGGCATTGGTAGCTTGCCTGGAGCATTAGTAAGGATCTTGATTTTCCCATTTTTGAAGGGAAGCAGTAAGACCTATTCCAAAGGAAAATACATACTTTTGTCTCACATTTGGATTATCAAAGAGGGGTTTATTGTCAGCTAATTCAGCTGTATGTCTAGATAAATAGTCAACAAACTTGACAATTCTATTAATGATTGCTCCCTGGCCCTTCTTTTGCTACATCACTCAACTGTGTTCTGCATGTGGAATTACTGAGGTCAGGAAAAGAGAAGCTAGATGGCACTATGGTCCAAAGGGATCATGTGCTGCTGGTGAACAGGGTGAAGCTGTGAGAGTTAACTGGTCTAAAATGCCTCTAGAATTCAATAAATATCAGCAAAGACAGAGTCAGAATTTTTGGAGTGGAATTAGGGATCAAACAGGCTGATACAATTAGTTACCTTTTGGGTTTTATAACACAAACAGGCTTAAGCATATAGACATGAAAAAGAAAGCAGATGTAAAATGGCTTTAAGATTGCCTACACAGATAAAGCTGTGAGAAATAGTTTATGCATCATTGCCTTAACATAACTTAAACATATTGGTGATTTTTAAACATATGCTCATATATATCTGTTTATACATGTTATTAGTTATGGAAGTAGATAAGCCACATGCCACATGTGTACAATTACAGGAAACCAACACACTCATTTGATTTGGTCCAGCAGCCTAGAGGGGAAAAATAATCCACCCTGAAGTGCTCATTAAACCTTCCTTTTACAACTTTAAGGATAGAGGTAAAGAGACCTACAATACCAAAGTATACATTTCATTCAGGCATATATCTGGGTTATTGTAAGACACTCATTAAGTTGTCTTTATATACATTTATTTTCACTATGATATGTCAGTTTCTCTATTCTCTACTTTTTACTATTTTGTAATTAATGAATATGTGTAACTCATTTATTTGTATTTTTATCAGAAAGACAGACAAGAATATACTAATATAGGTTTTATTAAAAGTGTAAGGCAAGCCAAAGCCTTTACCTAACCAGTAATTACTATTTAAGAGCACAAGTAGGCAGTTTAAGCTTAAGAACTCCTTAGAAAAATTTCAAAGTTATTGAAACACAAAACAAATAAACAAAAACATCTGGAAGCTTTGGAAGTCTGCACAAGTAAGCAGTTTAAGCTTAAGAATTCCTTAGGAGAATGTCAAAGTTGCTAAAACACAAAAAAAAATAAACAAAACCATCTGTGAGCTTTGGAAATCTGGGGAGGTCTTAATTTATAATTTTTTTAAAGTTTCGACGTTTGAAAGTAAATAGAACCCCATCAGAGAAACAACTTGGCATGTGTAGTAAAGCCAGCCTCTAGGCTTTTTCATTTGTATCTTTTGCTTATGCAGTGAAGGGGTCTGCACAGCAGCATGTCATGTTTGAACCACGGTCTTTTGCTAAAGAAATAGCCCTTTTGTTTTAGAGGAGTTCAATGGTTTTTGTCTTAGAGGTGAGGTATTGCTGTACAAATGACACAAATGTGCATCTGTCACAAAGGAGATGCGAAAAATAACTGATTTAGTAGGATTTTATCATGGCAGAAAGGTAACTAATAAATACCATAGTGTTCCTTCAGAGTTCAGTATGTCACTCATGTGACAGTAAGAAGTATGGATGAGCATGTAACTACTTTGGAAATGCTAGGAAAGCTTCATAGCTAGTAGTTGCTAGGAAGACACTTGCAGAACTTCTGCAAATCCTGCAAAAAGAGGATGAGCAATATGACTATAAAAGCTTAATACAATTGCTGAATTTTAATGCTCGCATGTTTGCAGGACAGCATGTGAATGTCAGTGAAGCAAATTCATAGAATGGTAATCCTACAAGGACAGTGTTAAAGGAACAAGGAGGAAAACAAATTGAGCAAAGAAGTAGGAACAAAGAGGAGAAAACGTGATCAGAAGTAATGGGAGAGCAAGACACGTCCTTGGAACTGAAAATGAGATAAGGATGTAGTCAACACTGTCAAGAAAACAGAAAGTTTATTAAGCTTCAGGAGAGGCTAGAGAGAAGGAGTCATCTGTTGACAGAAGGCACAGTGGAGGAAGTTCAAAAGTTTGTAGAAAGTGTGCAGACAGGTAGATGCATATTATTTTGGGCAGTGAGATTGCAAATTTGAAGAACCTAAGGTTATTAGAACAACTAGTAGTAGCAAAAAAAATATCTTTTAGGTTAGCAAAGAGCAAAAAATCAGTTACTTTTAGCATGGCAGTCTGTTTAAAAATAAGGAAAAAAAATTAATTTCACAGCATTGTTTTTTACATCTTCCTCCCATTTCAAGATACACTGAATTTGACAACTCCTGCTTTATTGTGTATTTGGTCATTCCAGAGTCCTTTTTAACTCCTGTACTTGATCAGTGTGCTAGAAGGATGTACTTGAAGTTTAATGGGAAGAATGATGCTTCCCAAGAGATGGAAAACATAAAGGGCCTCCATCACCAAAATGGTGAAGAAGTGGGATTTAGGAATAAAATTCAGAGGAAATTATAAGTTACTAAATATTTCCCTTCTGTCAGCAACATGTGAAAAACTCTTGTTCCTGTTAACACCTTTTAGAGACAACACCTGCTTGCTGCTCTGCCCATTTGCATCAGAGATGCTGTAGATTACCTGGGAAGGGGAGCACCATCCAGTGAGTACTACTGTTCCTCCAGCTTGTATTCAGACATGGCAGATCATGAGCCTTGTCATTAGTTAACAGTGGATTCCTGCTGCTTTATTAAAAACTTGCCTTAATATTTAAATTTCTTTTATTACTTTATTTAGGAATGACACATTTTTCCCTTAGTGGGGACTGTACTATGCAGTTTGCCACTCGGTTCTGGACTTTGGAGAACTGACTGCAGGTTTCAGCCTTCAAAAGCCCTAAGAAATATGGTAGGGCTAATGCAGTACTTGTACAGCTGGGAGTTTTGCTTTGTGCTGCCTCAGCAGCAAGGAACAGGATTGTCTGACCTGGCAACGTTTCTGTCCTTTTCTTTTTTTTTTTCTTTTTGCCATTCAAGTGCTTTCCCCCTAGAATTCAAGGAAACTCATATTTTGGTTTTTTTCTGATGATTTATCAAATCCTTTTAAAGTAGTGTGGATGTTGGCTGAACCTTCTGCAGGTTCAGCCTGTAGTGGCTAAACTGAGTGGAAGCCAAGGAGTTCTCTAATGTCTGTTATAAGTCAAGGGTCATGTTGTATATGGAGCAAAATACATGTATAGTGAGAGGAAGCAGAGTTTCCCTATGTTTTAAATAAACAATAGGTCTAAATTCTAGTTATTGGTGATAGGAAGATGTTTTTGTTCTGTGAGATTTCTGTTTCCTGTGACACTCTATAAGGTACATCTCCTTCATGTTTGCTGGCATTATTTGTTTTTTCTAAATGTGTGATGCAGCACATTCTTAAAAATAACTGTCAACTTTGTATTTGTTTTCAAGAAAGTGCTGATACTATATATTGTACTAATTTTGGATTGCAGCAACAGCCATAAAATAGGCACACTCAGCAAGAAATCCAGCATGACTGTTTTTGGATTTAGTGTCATAGGTGAACTGAAGATAGCATGAGTTGATAAATTTCATGTACTTTGAATCTGTGAATGTGTTTAAAAATGAGTTCTAAACATTAATATTTTTAAAGCTGCTCATCACACATTGAAACCGCTTATTTTACTTTACTATCCTTGTATGAATTTGTTCACAAGATGGTTCATCAAAGCAGTGTATTTTAAGGGCTATATGTTTATAAAATACCAAAAGTAGCAGGATAGTTTAATTTTGGCTGGTGGTTGTTCACAGTAAGTCCGAACAGGGTCTATGAAATAGGCTTAGAGCCTTGTGAATCTTCTAGCAGAAGACACAGACAGTACATGAAAACATTAACATTTCTTGAAGTTGTTAATTGCTCTGAATAAATCAACAATTATTTATTACAATGAAGATCGTTTCTTGGAAATACCAGGAGTGCATTAGAAATATACAGCATTCTAATGGGATGTTGAATAGGCTCTTCATTGACATGGCATTTTGCAACATACTGATTTGAAGAGCAGATCAGAATTTCAGATTATTATTATGAATACGTTTGTACTGCTATAGTCACTTGAAAATCACTCTTCTGCTATAAAAATTAGTTTCTGGTAAATTAATTTGTTTAACATCATTGGAAAGTGCCAAATTAGTTATGTTTATTTCAATCATCTGGAAATATATGCTGCCGTATTCCATTGCAAATTCCATGACAAATTCCCAGTGCTGGCTTGCTGTTTCCAGAGACACCCTAGGCTGGTTGCCCTAATTTGGTACAGTGTGTGTCCCAGGCTGCCTGCTGAGGAAGGCAGACAGGAGCACAGAGTAAGAGCTGAGGCTGAAAGACCATTTTTCTGCTTGCCTCAGTTTGGGATTCAAACCCAAGCCTGCTACTGCATTTGCGGTTAAGGGACAGCTTGTGCAAAGCCACACAATCCTTCTTTTCATCTCTCCTTGCAACTGCTGATATTGTTGTGCAGGTTTATGTGCAGTGACCCGCGTCTGCCTGCCCAAGGACTAAACACAGCCTCCCTGAAGTTCCTCAGGCAGGAGCCGCCTTCCCGGGAGCAGCCGCCTTCCTCCCGGGACCCACGCTGTGGGGCAAGGACAGAGATTCCTACTTGCCCCCCTCTCTCTTTTTTTTTTTCTTCTCTATATTTTCTCTCTGAATGTAAGGTTTGACCAGTACTGAAGTTCTAAGCTGCAGTATTTTTATTATCAGCAGGAATGTCAAAAAGCAACTTGCTCCAGCACAGGTGAGGACTGAAGAAAAAGATGAGAACGTTCATAACCTGTGTAAAAAGGCAGAGGAAAGAGCCTCCCCTCCCTGTGCCTAGTCTGTCTGCAGCACTTGCTTGAAGCATGAGTTTATTTAAACACGTACATTACTTTTCTTTTTCTTTCAGTTCTAGTCTAGTCTTGCAAAATACTGGAGTTATTCCAACATAAGTTAAAGGGACCAATATCTAAAAGAGATCAAGTTTTTGCTGAGAAAGTAGTTATAAGCAGGAGTTTCTGGAACCATAAGGGTCCCTACAGATCCTCACAAAATATCCAGAATACAGGAAGATTTTTCTGTATCTCCAAACATTGGACTCCATCGTGACTACAATATTAATTTTATATAAAATATTTTTAAGTAATAATGGACACAAAGGGGATTTCCATTTCCTCTCTTTTGCAAGGGTATTTCCACAGATTTCAAACCCTCATTAAACAGTGTCTGCTCTAGTGCATATGTACAAAACATGTTCAGAGTTAATAAGATGTGATTCCTGTAGAAAATGTTAGAGATTTTTTACACAAAGCCTGTGAGCCTCTGAGTTCATTGCTGAATGCTCTGCCAACTAAAGGGATGGTTTCTTGCATTTTTATACCTCCATTAATGATTCTTGTTTAATGACAGTAAGGATTTTCTTAGCAAAACATTTAAGCATATATGGAGCTTCTATTACACATTTAACTGGAACTAATACCCTCTACTGATATTATGCATATATTTCAGTATTTTACACAACTAATAATCAGAAATACATACCTGTGAAGTAACATCTAATATTTTCTTTTCAGTTTAGAGATTGTGTGATGTGCTGAGAGTCTACACTGGACTTAGTATAAAGAATATTTTTTTAATGCTATCTTGCTTTGTTTCATTTCACAAATATGACGTTTTATCCTTTTTTTTTCTTTTACTTTATTTTCCTGGAGTAGGTTTCAGTTTCAACACCTCAGAAATTTTTTTCCATGTTTCTAACTAGGTGGGGGCATTCCAACAGGATAACTGAGATAAAGAATAGTAGGAAATCTTAATTAATTGTACTGATTTTGTACAAATGAAGTAACTGAGAGACCAAGCAGAAGCTAGGTAGAAAAAAAATAGTGTGAGCTCACAATTCTAAGAAATAATACAGGGCTTGATTTGAGAAGTATTTGGAAGCAAGGAGTTTGAGAATTTAGCTAGTATTGGAAGTTATAGGACATGCAAAGAGGTTAAATGCCTGCAAATATGCCTGCAATAAAATATCTTATAGTTCTGCTAGTTTTAACTATCAGGGCAACTGCAGGCTACATTCAGCAATGCCTGGAACCATTAATGGCTCGTGAAAATGTAGTCATCTGAGTGATCTTGCTAACTTTTTCCAGGTGCTGGTGAGGAAGTGTTTGCAAAGGCATAAGAGAGGTGTTCAGCATAATGAATGAGAGATTGGCTGTAATTCAAAGTGTAAGAAACTGACTTTTGGAAAGGCATGTTGGAAAGGAAACGGGAACATTTAGCATGTGATTTTGAGATGACTGGAAAAAGTCCCAAGAGCAATTATGGCGATAGGAAATGTGAGACCTGTCAGTGTAGAAGAGAGTCTTTAAAGAAAATAAAAGCAGTTTTGAAGTTACCCTCTGATTAACTGGGAAGAGAAAATAAATATGCAAAAGAAAAGTGGGTCTGCTGAAACTAGTGTATAAATGTGCAGGTGATGTCATAATTAAGAAAAAGATAGTCAAACTGAACTACTGAAAATAAGATGAAAAACTAATTACCAGAAAGAAGAATTTCAAAATAACTCTTAATTTACTGATAGCTGAAAGGAAATTTAAAAAGGAGAATTCAGGTACTTAAGATATGATACTGGAAGAAAGGTTCAGAAGTTTTATATACCTGCTGTGACTTTAAATGTTAGCACTTGCATCTACTGCAGGAGAATAGCCAATGTTTGGAATTTTACATATTTGTAAAGACAGAGTGTCAGAACAAGTTACCTTATTCAACAGATTGTCTTCATCATTCTAGGTTGTTTGCATGGACACAAGTGCCCAACAGTTGCAGAGAACCAGAGGATGTTGTGCCCATAATAATCAAGAAGGAAGTGTAGACATGTGATAGTGAAGGAGGAAATATTTTAAGTTCCTTTCAGTCAGAGAACACTTTTTTCTATCTGGAGATCTATATGCTTGCGAGAGCATTGTGCAGATACTTTTCAGACAGTAGCATGTAAATTGTTTCAGTGCTTTGCACAGCTGTGCTTTCCCAGTTTTGATCTCACCAAAATAACTTGAGGCATTTGCTGTTGCAAAACTTCTTGGCAGAGAGAGAGCTTCCCAGGGGTGCATTTCTCTTTGTAACTATCTTCTCATTAGGTATTTATGATTTTTTATTTAAGGTTTTTATATATTTGTGCTCATTAGGTATTTATACTGACTTCCTATTCTTCAGTGCCTCAGTGGAGACCACTGCCATACTTGGAAGGCATTTTCACAACTTCAGACCGTTCAAAAGGAGAAGAACAAAAGGAAAGTATTGTACATAAAATTGTGTATGTTGTAAACATACACAATGTAAAACGTTAAAAGACAGGCTCTTATATTTATCATCGTATAACGTAGCCTGTTGTTCGTGGGATGCCTAGCTGCAATGACTGGTACCACAACTAGTTACAGCAAAAGAGTCTAATGTGAGCAAAGTTTTGCCTCATAGCATAGGTCCATCTGAGTTTGAAAATGGAGATAATAATAATCACAGAATCATTAAGGTTGGAAAATATCTCCAAGATTAAATCTAATCTTTGAATATTCTGAAGCTTTTGAAACCTCCAAAGCATATACTTTTGTGTGTTTATTGTAATCTATTTATGGTAAAAAATATAAAGTTATCTGATATTAAACAGGCCCAATTTCAGTAGTTTTTCCCTATTGAAACTCCATACTACAAGTGTTGCATCACACAATATCCCCCACAGTTAGGAATCACTGTTGAATCTAAATTAATAGATTTTTTTCTCCACAGTCTGATTGTTGTTCTTTGCTTGATGAGCTCTCTGGATGGATTTTTAATGGTTAACTGTAAGATTTTCTCATAGGAACCCAGAGGAGTCTGTGCTGTGGAGGGGCTCACAACAGGCACTGCTGGATGCTTGAGTTCAGGCACCTGGGTTCTCCAGGTGCTGGGCTGTTATCTGTGAGTCCCTCCTCATGCAAACTTCATTGATCTCAGATTTACTGTGTTTTAAAAGATGGCCTGTCACAGAACAGTTTTTTTATCAAGCCTATTTCTAAAAAATAAGTGTTTTGTTTGTGTAACCAAAGGACTCCACAGGTGTGCTGTTCCAGGGACTAAAATCGCTGTCTCTGCTCAAGGATGTCATTCCCCTTGAGCTGTCTGGAATTTGGTGTACTTAGTATAGCAAAACATGGGAACTTCTGTCAAGGGAAATTGCTGTGAGGGTCTTGCTTGCTGTTTCTTGCTGTTTCTTCCTTGTAGAATCACAGATTCACTGGGTTGGAAGAGACCTTCAAGATCATTGAGTCCAACCCAGCCCTAACCTCAACTAAACCATGGCACTAAGTGCCACATCCAGTCTGTTTTTAAACACATCCAGGGATGGTGACTCCACCACCTCCCTGGGCAGACCATTCCAATACTTTATCACCCTTTTTGTAAAAAATATTTGCTAATATCCAACCTATATTTCCCTTGGTGCAGCTTAAGACTGTGTCCTCTGGTTCTGTCAGCTGCTGCCTGGAGAAAGAGACCATCCCCCACCTGACCACAGCCACCTTTCAGGGAGTTGTAGAGAGTGATGAGGTCACCTCTGAGTCTCCTTTTCTCCAGGCTAAACAACCCCAGCTCCCTCAGCCATTCCTCACAGGGTTTGTGTTCCAAACCTCTCACCAGCCTCGTTGCCCTCTCTGGATGCGCTCAAGCGTCTCAACGTCCTTCCCAAACTGAGGGCCCAGAACTGGACACAGCACTCAGGTGTGGCCTCACCAGTGCTGAGTACGGGGCAGAATGACCTCCCTGCTCCTGCTGGCCACACTATTCCTGATCCAGGCCAGGATGCCCTTGGCCTTCTTGGCCCCCAGGGCACACTGCTGGCTCATGTCCAGCTGCTGTCACCTGCACCCCCAGGTCCCTTTCT